GCAGTATTGCTGAGATTGCATCTCAGGGAAATTGCTTTGATGGACTCAAGGAGCCCCAGCACTGCCAGCTCTGCATCCTCTTCTTCTTCTTCTCCGACAAGTTATCGCAACGACTTTTATTCGGACAGATTATCAGACCTCGATTACCCGAGACCCCCATTAATCAAGGTAAATAATGCTACATTCAATCAATTTAATTTTCAATGAATAACTTAAGTTTCGGTTGTGAATCATATTCGATTCCTATGAATATTGATTTCTGTTTTATTGAGAATTAATTATTTAATTGATTCTTACGATAAATATATATATATATATAAAATTTAAAAGATTATAATTTACCAGTATAAAATATTATATATAATTTTTTTTAAATATACAAAATGAAGACATAAATATTTTATGAATTTTAATAGTTCAATGTCCTTTTTCCTTTTTTGTCACTAGGAAGGTGCACGTGCGTTGCACGTGTATAGTTATGTTTTCTATATGTTTACTGTCTTTCACATATTTTTATTTAAATAATATTGTATACTTCAAAAGAAAAAATAAAAGTTTTCATCCTTATTACATATGTATATTTATTCATGAATCGGACGCAATTACTATTTGTTTTTATCTTACACTGTTGGACACTTTAATTTTAATTTGTATTATTTTTGGACAACAACCCTTGACATGACTGACATCTTATGGTTAAAATTGTCCATGGATTCTTTATTTCTCTTGCCTCTTAGTGCTTAATATTTTCTATTCCTTCTTGCTAGCGTTTCATTGGCATACTGCATCTATTTGAATAAAGTCCACTGATTTGTCATTAGACCGAAAATAATGCAACCCTCCGCAAAGCATAAAATTATGTGGCAGTGGGATCCTTTTTTATTGCATTGAAGAGCATCAAATTTGGAATTTTTATATCCCTCCATGAATTTGAGGGTGAGAAAGTTAAGATAAGTGGAGTTTGGTAATGAATTATTATTTCAAAATAATTCACTTAATACAAAGTGAAAGAAGAAATACTGGGAATCGAACGCGTGATCTTGACTCTGATATCACATGTAGAACCTTAGATATTACGAGTTGTTCTCCCATTGGTGTCAGAAAAGGCGTGAACCATAGCTATGACCCAATACATAAGCGCCACGATATTCGATTGTGGGCCGTTCATACCCCAAGCTAACAATTCAATAATTCAATAATCAACATGCATTACTTCGATGTTAAGTATTCGGTAATTAACAACTCATATAGTTATGATCGGGTGTTTCTTGAAATTCCATCTTCCAATGTATAGTCTGTATGTTACTTCAATTCACTTATGTTTCCTCTAGTGTCCAAATAAATTTCAGTTACCTCTCGAGTTATATTTTTTACAAATTATAGTTGTTTTCTCATTTTTTTTGGTAAAGCCAACTCATTTTCTTTTTATTTTATAACAACTTTTTTCTTACTTTAATTATTATTTTTCACACCTTCCATTTTTGAATAATTTTTTCGTTTTGTTATATATATATATATATATTGTATCTGTTTAAGTTCATTTTTGTATAACATATTGATTGACATACATGACAATGCATAAACATTCTATTTTCTATATCAATTTGCTTATGATCATATTTTACAAGTACCTATCCTCATATCATGTTAATTGTATGAAATTGTTGTTCACCGATTTTCTGATTTTCCTTGTTTCTGATACAAGTCAAAGATTAAAGCTCACATAGTACTTTTAAAAAAAGTTCAAAGAACAGAACTCACATACTAATATGATATTTGAAAAAAGTTTATTGGAAGTTGTGAAATCACCTGCTGTTAACGTTTCAGGAGTACTCGGAATCTCTTGAGATTCTGCACAGTTTACTGTGGTCTTAGGTTTTTTTTTTTTTTCTTTTTTTTTTGTTTTTGTCTTCCTTGTGCTTGTTAATTGTTGCACTTGAATGCAACTTGGTTATGCTACAAAATATAAGAGGACACAACTTAGAACACAATAGAAAAGTCTGATCGAGAGTTGCAAAGAGATATGTCTTCAAGATGATATAAATAGATGCATGCATATAAAAACCAAAAAGGGTTGAACAATGATTTCTCATATAATTAGTAATGGCCTTACTTACTCCTTAAGGATACAATCCATTGACAAAAATATTTTATTATTTATAACCTTTGAAGAATAGAACATGCAAACAAAAATTTATGAAGCCTAAAAATTCAGGAATTGAATTCCATCATTTTTCTTGATGAATCCAATCTGTCTCTTGTACTCTTCATCTTTCCTCCACCTATTTTCATCTAAATAATTCTGAGAATGATTAGAAGAATTTGTCCTATTGGCTATTACATTGATAATTATTGATACCAAAGATCGGCTTTTTGATATACTAAAAGAGGCTCTCAAATATGAAGAGATCAAGGTATTTGAAGAGACTAACATGTATCACTAAATGGTTTTAGACTTTTCGGTTTCTCTAATTACGTTTGTTTTAGAATATTAATCATTTCATTGTGTTATGAAGGAAATAAATATAATAATTTTTAGTGTAATTTAAAACTTACATTAATTTTGTTGTTTCTAGATACACGAATTATAAGAATTCTATGATGTGTGTTTTGGCTATTAGTTGCTTTGAAGGGTATTTTTGGACAATCAAAAAATGGAAGAAACCACCCAATCATTCTCACTTTTATAAGTAGTATAGATATAGATAGATATAGATAGATAGATTATGACACACAAATCTTATATTGCCAAACACTTTAAGAACTTATGTTCAGCAAAAAATATCTTATAAACTCCATATTCAAACACTATAAGCTTTATTGAAATAAGATGTAAGAGTTTATCAGCTCTTAAAACATCTTATCAGATATATTATGAGCTTATAAGATATTTTAAATAAGCTTAGCCAAACTGGTTCTTTTTTTTTCCCCTCGGAGCCCCACCCGATATACGTAGTTTATTCAGAAGGTTTAAACCATCGATGTTATGTGTACAAATAAATGTTGCTAGTGAAATCAATTGTGTGATTCAGTAAAAGTAGATCAATTTAGCCTATCATTTGATCCAAATGAAAAATGCAGACCAGTTGCAGTCTAATGTTCCGTTTTCCTTCTGTTTCGGTAGATTAAGTCGGCCCGATTAGAAACGGAGTTCTTCACCGAGTACGGAGAGGCAAGTAGGTATGAGCTTCAAAAAGTGATAGGGGAAGGTATTTCTGGTGTTGTACATTCTGCAATCGATTCCCGTACTGGAGAAAGAGTTGCTATAAAAAAGATCACTGATGTCTTCAAGCTTACCTCTAACTCCATACAAGATCCTTCGGCTGCTCAAGCATCCCGACATTGTCAAAATAAAGCATATATTAATTCCTCCTTCCCGGCGCGAATTTCGTGATATATATCTTGTATTTGAGTTGGTGGAATCTGATCTTCACGAAGTAATTAAAGCAAACGACGACCTCACACCCGAGCATTTTCGATATTTCCTATACCAGCTTCTGCGCGGTTTGAAGTATCTTCACACGGGTTGTCATCTCTATTTTGTTCTTTTATTTCTACTCTTAGCATAGGAGCATTATCAATTGTTCTCTCTCTCTCTCTCTCTATATATATATATATATATATATATATATATATATATATATATATATATATATATATATATTGACATATATGTTTATTTTTTTAAAGCAAATGTGTTTCACCGAGATTTAAAGCCGAAGAATATACTTGCAAATAGTGACTGTAAGTTGAAGATTTGTGATTTTGGTCTGGCACGTGTGGCATTCAATGATGCCCCGTCAGTAATATATTGGACTGTAAGTCTTACTTATATGAGGTACTACATGCAGGGAGTCCACTTCCTAACGTTTTCGTTCCGTTTATGATTGTTGAAGGACTATGTTGCAAATCGATGGTATCGCGCTCTGGAGTTATGCGGTTCCTTTTTCTCTAGAGTAAGCCTATAGTACTTTTGTTTTTTCGATGTTAATTCATGCTAATGTTCAATCATATATCTTGGTATAATTATGCGTGTTTAATTTGATTTCCCGTTTATAAACACTGAAGTGATCAGTCTCTAGAGAAATTTGATATTTATGAGTGGCATAATACTTCATAAAAATTGTATATATATATATATACATATTTTATTTATTTAGTTTTATTTACAGTATACTCCTGGTATTGATATTTGGAGCATTGGATGCATATTTGCTGAGATGTAACTGGAAAACCGTTGTTCCCGGGGAAAAACGTGGTGCACCAGTTAGATTTAATGACAGATTTACTTGGCACTCCTCCTCCCGAATCTATTGCAAGGGTTCGTTAATTCACGCAGTTTACACATTTATTAATTTATTATTTTCAGTTAGATTCCTTTGTACGTCGATCAGTTAATGAAATAATGGATTTGGCTATCAAAGACAAATCTCTCTGTTTTGTGTGCGTCGGCGTGATTTTCTCTTGTAGTGTTATGGATATAATTGAATTTATTAAAATTTTAACGGCAGATAAGAAACGAGAAGCCGAGGAGATACCTAAGTAGTATGAGGAAGAAACAAGGTGTTCCATTTGTGCAGAAATTTCCAAAAGCCGATCCATTGGCTCTTCGCTTACTACAACGGCTCCTTGCATTTGATCATAGAGATAGACCAACTGCTGAAGAAGTAATTCTCAACTTCACATGTTGATTATTTATCATTCATCAACCATAATCAGTAATATCGAGTGTGAATAATGTTTGGCAGGCATTGGCTGATGCCTACTTCCATGGATTGTCGAATGTGGACCGTGAACCATCGAGTCAACCCATATCAACATTCGAGTTTGAATTTGAGAGAAGAGAGGTGACTAAAGATGATGTTAGAGAATTGATTTACAGAGAGGTACGTAGCGTACGTAATAATATTTGCTTGTTGATTGCATGCATATGGTTTGTTATTATGAGTTTTTATCGATCCTTTCTTATTGTGGTTACATGCATCGCAAGCAAACAGATTCTAGAGTAAGCTCTCGGGCCTAGTGGTAATTCGCCAAGCTTGTTTTGCGAAAAGTGCCAAATTGAAAGCTTGGAGATCTCGAAACCCCATACCTCCCACTTCCTTTGGCCGACAAAGTTGTTTCCAAGCCAGCCAAGCCATCTTATTACCATCGCCATTCGACCACCAGAACTTTTTTACTGTCGCTTCAATCTCGTCGATTAATCCCCGCGGGAGGATAAAACAGGACATGACGTACGACGGTATTGCTTGAAGTACGGCCTTAATGAGGATCTCCTTTCCCGCCTTTGAGAGTTGTTTCGAGTCCCATCCCTTGATGCGCGACCACACTCTATCTCTAAGAAATGAAAAGATTGCTTTACGAGTTCGTCCCATCGAAACCGGGAGACCGAGGTATTTATCGAATTTTTCGACTATCTGGAAACCAAGAATGGCGTGGATATTGCTTTTCGAGATAGGTGATGTCGACGGACAGAAAGTCATCGTTGATCTTCTGGCCCGAGACCCTTTCATATCTGTAAAGAATTTCCCGCAAGGCATGAGCATTTGATTCCGAGGCTTGACAAAAAATGAGTGTGTCATCAGCAAAGCATAGGCTTGGTACAAGCGGAGCCGTGGGAGCCCCCGAAATCCTTGTATCCGACCGCTCTCCGTGAATTGGTTAAGCATAACAGTCAAAGCCTGTGTGCAAAGAATGAACAAGTATGGTGACACTGGATCGCCTTGTCGAAGTCCGCGAGTCGGGACAAGAGAACCACACTGCGAACCATTAAAAAGAAAAGAGTAAGATATTGTGGTCACACATAACATAACCAAATCCACCAACGATTGCGGGAAACCAAATTTGCCCTGAATTTATCCTTCTCAACTTACTAAACCTATAAGTGAAATTTATATATATAAAAAAAAAAAGTTTAAAATATCATACATAAATTATTTTGAGCTAAATGAATATCTAATTAAAAAAGACTGGAAATCAGTTTCTTTTGAAGGAAATACTTGTTTTTAAATTTAAATTATTTTAAGATTTATGATACAATGATAATACTAAAAATGAAGAATATAAAAAATTACTTACACAATCAACCTTGAATTAAATTAGTTACTTTTCAAACCGTACCGTGTACTTGTGTAGACCTGACCACCGGTTCAGTTAGAACCGGAATCGGAACCAGAACCGAACCGGGGTCAACGGTTTTAGAACCGAACTGGAACCGGTTTGACCGGAACCAGAACCGGAACTGAAAAAACCGGTTCGGTTCCGGTTCCTCATTTTTGGAACCGGGAACCGACGCGGTTCTAACCGTTTGAACCGGTTTTTAAAAAAAAAAAAAATATTAATTCTCTCTCTCTCTCTCTCTCTCTCTCTCTCTCTCTCTCTCTCTCTCTCTCTCTCTCTCTCCATATATATATACTTCTCCGTATACCTATATATATATATATATATCTGTATGTATATATATATCTATATCTATATATATATATATATATATATATATATATATATATATATATATATATATATATATATATATATATATATATATATATTATATATTTATATATATATATATATATATATATATATATATATATATATATATATATATATATATATATATATATATATATATATATATATATATATATACATATATATATATATATCATACCAGAACGAGCAACATATACATATAGGAAATAATATTTATATACACATATATATATATATTTAGGAGAGCTAAAATATAAGAG